GGGATCTCAAGGACAGACTCGAGAGTGTTGGTGGAGAGACCTTGGGAAAAGGACACTATTATGCTTGTTGGAATCAAACCGTGGGAGTAAATGCAACAAACTAAACAATCTTTTGCTTAGCTATATTAATGCAAAGTTTCTAATTGTTGTACTACCTGTGTTTTGTACTAACTGTATTTTGCTTATTGTTAGTGTATCTATCTGCTTTGTTTCTTATTATGTGTTCAGTGATTGATTGATTGATCATTTAACTAAGTCATGGCTGTTCAACTAAAAACAAATAAAGAAGGGGGAGATGTGGAGGCATAGTACCTTGTCAGTAGATAATAGATGCCTTGTTAATAGTTAATCACAAGAATGCCTTAGTAGTGCACGGTTGATGGGCTGACCCGCAAGGACTAATGTCTTATCAGCAAAGAGCAAAGCAGGAAAAGGAGGAGGACTACAATCACATGTGGAATGTCTTGTCAGCAGATGAGGAACAAAGCAAGGAGAAGAAGATAAACACAACTGCACGGCTGTCAGGATGCTGATTGATTGTAATTTTAGCAACACTTGTGTTAAAAGAGTATAAAAGGAGTTGGTTTGAGAATAAAGTTGTCTCTCACTGCATCCCAGACTGAGTCCGTTTCTTCACAAGGTGCAACAAGGAGCTGCTCTAAGTTTCCTGAAGCTGTTTTCCAGCTCATCTTCTCATTTTTCTGTCACTTCTGCTTTATAATTAAACAGAAAAATGAAGGAGCAGCAGCGTCTTTCCCTCTTCCCCAAAGCAGAGCAGCATTTCTTCCCACACCCATTCTCTTAGAGACCCACACGTTTTGTCTAGGATCCAGATAAGAGCTTAATCATTTCCAGATCTCTGAGCAGTAACTGGAGAGAGTGCCTTGGAAAAACATCCCAAGGGCATTTCCAGGCATCAGTGGGGCTTGTTATGGTGCAGGCTAGGCTGTTCTGGCTAGAGGGAATTTCTTCTATTTTGATTCCTAGGACTGGTCCACTTATAAAAAGAACAGAGCAAGGTGAAACACCTGCATGCTTTTTTTTTTTTTTTTTTTAAGGTCAAAACCATTTTATAATAACTTCAGCCTCATATAGATTTATCTCCCTCCTCAGCTCCTCGCGGTTTAATTACTCTTGCAGTGCCGATGGGGGGAGAGAAGCGTGGACGTGAACTGATGTTCAGTGGACTGGTTTAGACAACATAACGGTAAGACTGGCAGGGAGTCGGTGCAACTTTTCCAAAATCTGCCTGAAGAAACTGCCAAAAATAAGGAAGTGTCAGCACTTAGAGGACATAGCGCAGCCCTAGTTGTTCGTGTTAACTCTATAAGTCCTTTGCTGGACTTGTTCATGTTATATGAACTTCGTACACTATATAGGCTCGCCTTTCCTTCAGGTTATTTCCACTCCTATCATCTCCAGCATTGCATAAGCATTAGGGCTTCTTTTTTTTTTTTTTTTTTTTTTAAGGGGAAGGGGAAACATGCTGGCATCCCTCAAAAACCGTCTGCTTCTTGCACCAGGATGAGCCATCAGTCACCAAAATGTAAATAACCTGAGAGGGAAAAGCTAATAATGTTTATGTTTAAATAATCCTCACTAAGCAAATGCATTAATTCCTCACGTGTGGGAAATGGAGAAACCGTGAGAAACTGTGGGAAGCTGTGGGAACAGTGAAAGTTAGGAGTGAGAAACTGTGAAAGTTAGGAATAACAGATTAGCAGATAGAGAAACCTAAAACACAGGCTGGACGCACCGATCTCTGGTTGGTTAACTGTTGTCCGTTAGCAGGATTGGACCCAGATAGCAATAGAGTCAAGGAATTGGCTGGAGGCAGGGGGAGGGAGCGCGTGGACAGTGCATGCTCACATACTCGGAGAATATATAAGTTTGGTCTGATGCTCAATAAAATGGCTTCTGGTCCTAAACCTTAAGCCCCTGCTCCTTTCGATGACTCCCACGCTCACGGAGATAGATGAGGTGCATTACGCCATTTCCTGCAGGCATTCCACATTTGTCCCTTATTTGGTCTTGCTTGCAATCCAAATAGTTGCGAAGTCCGGATTAATCTGCGACTCGTTGCTCCACACCAGTGCAGGTTAAAGGAGAGGAAGAGCCGATGCCAGAGGGAGAGGGCAGGCTGCAGGGCTATGGCACCTCCAACCTCATCTGTTTTGGCTCGTTTTCCCCTAATCACCATTAGTTTCCATTAGTTTCCCTTTTTTTCCCTCCCCAAAGCCAGTTAATAGTCCATTCTATGGGTTCTCTTTCAATTTAAGCACTTTTGCTTCATTTAAAGACGCGTTAAGAACAACCACTATTGAAAGCAACCTAACACTCTCCTATGCAAGACAGATCCCATCCTGCGTAATTCACTTCCAGACCCCGTGTGCAGGTTCAGGATTCACTCAGCCGGAGCACTAGGTGCACTGTGAGACTTCGTTTGTGCACCAGATCCTTACAAATAACCTGGTTTTCCTTCTCTCAGTCTCAAATATTTAGACACCCCTCCTAAACAGACACATTTTGGACTGCTTGGCAGATAGACGTGAGGTCTGAGGAAGGGCTGGCCCCTAGATAAAGCAAATATCAATCCTTTCAGAGGCAGTTTTCTTACCCTAGTCTCATTCATGCTGTCTTTTACATAGGAAGCTATGGCCCTTGAACAAGCAATAACTACACTGTAGAAATGTTGCAGATAGTTAGGGTCCGGCGGCCGGAAGATATCGTGCTGTACGGAAAGATAGGGCCCCTAATAGCCAATAGTGTTTAGTTTATGATGTAAGCAGACGGATGTGACGTTGTAAACCTAGCTATATAACACCTTGTTACCCATTTGCCATTTGCCGTCCACCACATTGGTGTCAGCGAGCTGATGGCCCGAGTGACTTGGGGGTGGTCGCTGTGCTGTCCCTGAACCAGGTTGCCGAGCCGTTTGAACTGCAACATAGAAACTTTAATGAAACCTGAGAAACAAAGTGATTCTCTTTTGCAGGTGCCAACAAGAGTTGTTTCAGTAAAGTCTCTGAGTTGTAAGACTATATTAAATGTAGCCCATTTCTCTTACTGTAAGCCAAGTAAAAATTTTCACCGTTTGAAACAAGGCTTATATGCTATATGATACCAAAAAAAAAGCAAGCTAGATCTCAGCTTTATAATTTGCAAGATGCAAACTTGAAATAGATTAGCAAAAATATTAGCAAGACTATAGACCTTGCTTGCTGTATGAGATGATCGCATTTTATAAAACTTCTGCACCCAACGACAGTTTCCAGACATAAAGCTCCACAGGGTGTCAAGCAAGACATGTAACAGTGTGTCTCCGACAAGGTCATGCTGCTTTAGAAAAGAGATTACTTAAAACATATGCATTTCGGAGTTTCTTCTTTGCAGTGACAGAGCAATCCCAGAAACTTGAAGGGTACCAAGCTCCCAGTAGGCACAAAACTGCTAATGCAGAAGAAAGGAAAACATGGTCCTTTTGAGAATGTAAGCAGAAAGACTTCTGAAAATTAGAATAACCAAATAGGCACGAGCTGGAATTAAACAGGACCATATTTTGAAGCTGAATTCATATCTGTGCTCAGTAAGAAGACTCAGAGATCCATGAACTTTACAGCAGTTGGTTTTCTACTGAAAACTCAGCTGAGCTGGTTTTAGGTGGAAAGGTAGCTTCTAAACAGACAGGAGAAATATTTGATCCTGTTCGCCTCTGCATTTTGAAGGCATAGAAGGAAGAAAGCAAGGTTGTTTCACAAGCATGTGAATTGGTGAAAATGCAGCTTCAAAAGCCACTCTATCCTCCGGCTCTCAGCGTGTGTCCTCCTGTGCATGCCATCTAGAAAGCAGCTCTATCAAAGAAGAGACCTTGGCATGGTATTTTTTAAGCACAGAAAACATTGCTGGTATTCAACGAATAAAAATGTTAAAAATGAAGTGCTCTGGCTCTATGTTTTAAAATGTATCAGCCAGAAATAAGTGTTTGGTTCTGATATTTCTTTGCTTCGTTCTTTCAAAGCTCTGGTTAGAACCACTGTGGTTATCTTTGTATGATGGCCCAGGTGCCCGCAGGCCAAGTAGAGCGACACAAAGTCCTTTGAAGACCACAGGAGCCTGTCTCTAGCCCTCTTCTGTCTGTACCCTGCCTAATGAAAAGGGCATAAGGAAGAAGCAGGGCTAGATTAATCCAAGATGTTAATGATGCTATTGCTTATCTTGCCTTTGCCCGCAGCTCCTGGATGTAATGCAGGTACTGACTCCCTGAGAGCAAAGCAGCTGCGTGGCCTCTCTCATCCATGACGGAGGGCCTTGAGAAGTACATACTGTCTGGTGGTTGCTTTTTTGTTCATTTTTAATTACACTTCTGTATAGGAGATGGATATTTTTATGATCTGTAAGGTCATAAAAATCTCCTGGGAGAAGCAGAACACAGACCTTCAGAGAGAGAAGATGTTTGCCTGCCTGGGCTGAGTGGGGCCTGTTCAGCCTGGAGAAGAGAAGGCTGAGAGGGGATCTAATCAGTGTCTATAAGTACCTCAAGGGAGGCAGTGAGGAGGATGGTGCTGGTGGCCACCGACAGAACTAGAGGTAATGGCCACAAAGTGAAGCATCAAAAGTTCCACAGGAACTTAAGGAAAAATTTCTTGACAGTGAGGGTGACGGAGCACTGGAACAGGCTGCCCAGAGAGGTTGTGGAGTCTCCTTCTCTGAAGATCTTCAAAACCTGCTTGGATGCAGTCCTGTGCCACGTGCTCTTCGTGACCCTGCGTGTGCAGGGAAGTTAGACTAGATGACTTCTAAAGGTCCCTTCCAACCTTAAACACTCCTGTAGTATTAATTCCAATCAAAAATTTTGTTAGCATTTACAGTGTTTTTTTTTTTTTTTTTTTTTTTTTTTTTTTTTTTCGGGGGTTTTTTGGGGAGGGGAAAGAGAGGTT